ATGGGAATGTTTCCTTCCTTAGAATATTTACTCTAATTCTTAGCCACTACCAACTCTGGCCCATTTCAGGCTCTGTCACTTTCCCTTGCCAGTCCCACCTTTCCAGCTCTGCTCCAAATCAAGTCAATATTGTTAGTTTCTGAACCTCTGTCCCACCCCCCAAAAAGCATTAAGACAAATACAGTCATTCCTTGTGATCATAAACACTCTTATAGTATACCGAAAGCATCCTGTGCTGGAACATAGAGGCCCCAAACTGGGAACATCACCAGGACTGTTGGGACAGGAAAATATAAAAGGGGGGCTAGGAGCAAAGCCCAAAGGAGCGTTTATTGCTGGTAGTAACACATACTGAGACTACAGACTGAAAGGCTAGAAATCAAGCAACTGCAATTACTTCTGGTCAGTCATGATCACAGTAATTAAGTTCTATGAAAGAATGATCGATTATAAAAGCAAACTTTTAGAATGCTTTGATGAATATGAAGAGGAAAGCCTGGTTGGTGTAGCTCAGTGGTTGAGTGTTGACCTATGAATCAGGCGGTCACAGTTTGATTCCTGATTAGGGCAGCTGCCCAGGTTTGATCCCCAATAGGAGGCAGCCAATCAATGATTCTCTCATCATTGATGTTTCTATCTCTCCCTCTCCCTTCCTCTCTGAAAGCAATAGAAATATATTTAAAACGACAACAAAATAATGCTAAATTTAAACCTCTTATCCTAAAGACAAATTGAAAAAAAACACTGCAGATAGTGGACTACTAAAGGAAAAACACCTGTATATTTACTTTGACAAGTGCTTTATACTTATACTAGAGGCCTGGGGCATAAAATTCATGCATAGATAGGGTCCCTAGGCCTGGCCAGCAATCAGGGTCAATCGGGGCCTTCCTTCATTCCACGCCGCCCCCCTGGAGGTCAGCACATGTCATAGCGAGTGATCAAACTCCCAGTCTCCCAGTGGAACTCCCAAGGGGACACTTTGCATATTAGCCTTTTATATATATGGATAAAATGTGAAATTCACGTTGATTTTGTAAAAATCAAAATATAAACTAAATGAGAGAACACCTTCAGTGCTAGTCAGCCTCCAGAATGGTCTCTCACATAATAAGTAGGGCTGATCTGTGTTTCCAGTAAGATATTGACAAATGGCAGTATGTGGCTAGGTCACCTAAGACATTGTGGCTTCTGCCTTTCTCTGTCCTGAACTGTTCATTCTAGAGAAAACCAGCCACCAGGTCATGAGCACATTCAAGGAGTCCATGGAGATGCCCACCTCTTCCCAAAAAAACCACCAAGTGCCAGGAATGTGAGTGAGCCACCTTGGGAGCTGATCCTGAAGCCCAAATCAAGCCTTTACCTGGCAACATCCTTGCCAGGTATCTTCATATCCTCATGAGAAACCCCAGAGCTAGACACCCAAAAAGCCATCTGTGAATTTCCGACCTACTGAAACCGAGGTGTAAAAAAAATGTTTATCATTTTAAGCCACTCAACTTTGGGAGATTAGTAATACACTCACTTAATATAATTCTTCAAACTCGGAAGATTCCTTTTTAGGATGTCTCAAGATCAGCAACTGTGCTTACAAATTCTTTTTTTTTTTTTTGTATGCATGCATTTAAGCATAACCAGTGGACACAGGCACAAGGAGGGGGTGAGGGCATGTGGGGGGTGGGGAGGGTGGCCGGGGAGAGGTCAATGGGGGAAAAAGGAAATATATGTAATACTTTAAACAATAAAGAATTAAAGAAAAACAAATCTTGCTAAAACTCCCATAGAATGTACACACTAAAACCTAACCCTTGTCATCTTCTGTTTTCCAGCTGGTATGAAATGATTAGAGTGCCAGCGATTCTCAACCTGGGGGTCGCGACCCCTTTGGCGGTCCAACGACCCTTTCACAGGGGTCACCTAAGACCATCCTGCACATCAGATATTTACATGACGATTCATCACAGAAGCAACATGACAGTTATGAAGTAGCAACGAAAATAATTTTATGGTTGGGTCACAACATGAGGAATTGTATTTAAAGGGCCAGAAGGTTGAGAACCAACCGCTGGAATCATGATTTAGGGTCGACGGACACACCGAATCAAGCTTTCCACTCGCCCTCCAGTCTTGCAACGATTCTTGGATAATGGACAAATAGAGTGAGCCACACCTCGTAAGTTTTCATGTGTCCTTACCCCGTTTATTTTTTTAATTGTCTTGCACCTGAGACTCAAAGCAGCTGCCCTCTCCTGTGGCCTGTAACGCTCCAGCCCGTCCCGGACGGAAGGGCCGAAAAACTTGTTTTTCCCCCGTGCCTGCCCCGCGGGCTCTCAGCGCGGGCGGCTCAGGCTCCTGCAGGCCCCGCGTCCCAGGAAGACAAGTACCAAGTGGGGGAGGGGGCTCACTGGGATGTGCCCCAGGGAACCCGCATGGCACCCATCAACTGCCCGAAGCTCAACACACTCAGAGTTCTGGTTATTAAAAGCCTAGATACCAGCGTGAGGGGGGAGGGGGCGGGTGGCCCTAAGTCACCGGACGCTTACAACCCCGGCGCAGCGCGGAAGAAACCGGGAATACGCAGGTTACAGCAAACGTAGAAACAAAACAAGAGTGATCCGGTCCCGGGTCGGGTGAGGGTGCGAAATGCGGAGCGGACACCAACTTGAAGCGGCCGGGCTGACAGGCGAACTCGCCAGCGGCTCCTAAACCGCGGGGACTAGAACCTACGCGGAGCCAAGGGCAGCCCCAGAGGCAGGGCCGGGCCAGAACCACACCCTTCACAGAGCCCGCTGGACCCCGGGTCCGCCCACCTATCGCCCGCCCCATCTTACATTCAGAGTGGTCCCCGGAACCCTCAGGACGGCCGGCTGCCGCCAAGGTCCCGCACTAACCGGAGAAGCCTGCCCAGCAGAACGTCAACGAATCCCCCCCACCTTACCAGCGCCGGCGGCGGTGGCGACTCCACAGGCCCCGCCAGGGGAAAGAGACCCCTGAACCCGAGGCCCGCCGGGAAATGTAGTTCTGCACTCGGCTCCAGATTACTACTCGGGAGCATTCACTCTCTCCTAGGACTTGGAACGCCAAGTTCCCCCCATCGGAGCGGTGCACGCTGGGTATTGTAGTCTTGGCTCGGTTGGGTGGTTGACGGCTGGAACCGGTACGCACCGTGGAAACAGAACTCTCTGACCTCATTGGTCGCCGTCCCCAGGTCGCTTCTGCGCAGTGAGTGGTGGCGTCGTAACGCCTCGGGGAGAGGGAAGCGGATAGAACCGTGAATCGCTGCCTCTGGCTTTTAATTCTTCTGCTGACAGGCGCTGCTCACTGGTTCTTCCTCTTTTGTCTATTGCACGCAGCCCGCCCTCCCCACTAGCTTTCCCACTCCTCGGATCCAGCCCTCGGGGCATTCCAGCCGGTTTTCTGACCCCGCCGTGAGCTCACTCCTGCTCCCCGCGCGGGTCTGGCACGGAGGCGGTAACTATGGAGAATATGGCGGAGGAGGAGGAGGAGGTGGCTCCAGCCCAGGTCTCGACCTCGGCCCCGGACTCGGCTCGGG